ACTTCAACTTGAAAATTTAGTTTTTTCGCACCATAGTCTCAGGTGCTACATTATGATTATTTTTCTCTTCTAATATTTTAAACCTCCTCACTTGCGCTGACCGACCAAGAAGTAGCGAGAGTTCAAAAAGCTACGGGAAAGCCGCTCCCAGTACAAACGGGGCGATGCGTCGTCTGCTCACGTTTCTGGTGAGAGTAGAATAGCCCTCCCGGTATTTCTTCAGAGTTGACAAGGCATCACTTTGTGATAGAAATTTAACAAAACCAAATTTGGGGAATGTACTTTGAAGTTAAAAATTGTACTTTCCTCGGAAAGGAGCAGAAACAATCCTTTAAGTAAAGTACAAGTACATATTCAGAGAATGTACTTCAAGTGAAGTACAAGTTTCCTAAATATAATATAAGTAGTACTTCAAGTACAATGTACTTAAGTATATTCTACTTTAAGTACAATGTACTTAAAGTACTTTCCAACACTGGCCACAGACGTGTTCAGCAGGATGCTACAAGCCCCAAAACATTATTCATACAGTGATATCTCGAACGGATCGAGCGATACTTTAGAGCAGTGGTCGGCAACCAGCGGGCCCGCGAGGCAGTATCGTGCAGCCCCTAGCCCCCTGCACCTCCCCCCCAATGCGGTCAGCTAAAAAAAAAGATATTAAATAAAAAATTGAAAGCCGTTTACAGCTCCCTGTAACACCGAATTAGAGCGCAGCTCTTGAGGAGGAGGAGGGAAGGGTACTGGGGGGGTGAAGTGACCTGGGGGGGTCACGTGACGATGCCGATGATGTCATCAGTGACGTCACTGATGACGTCATCAGTGACGATGATGATGTGGACTCCGATGACGTCATCAGTGATGATGACGATGACGATGCGGATGTCGGTGATGTCATCAGTGACGTCACTGATGACGTCATCTGTGATGATGACGATGACGATGCGGATGCCCCCCCCGAAGTCACGTGACACCCCCAGGGTCACGTGACCCCCGCCGAGGTCACGTGACCTCCCCGATGACGTCATCGTCACTGATGACGTCACCGGCATCCGCATCGTCATTGTCATCATCACTGATGACGTCATCAGTGACGTCACTGATGACCTCACCGGCATCCGCATCGTCATCATCAGTGATGACGTAATCAGTGATGATGACGATGACGATGCGGATGCCGGTGACGTCATCGGGGAGGTCACGTGACCCTGGGGGTGGTCACGTGACATGGGGGGTGTCACGTGACTTCGGGGGGGGGGGGGGGCACGTGACTTCGGGGGTCACGTGACTTCAGGGGGGGTCACGCGACCTTGGGGTGACCTTGGGGGTCACGTGACCTTGGGATGACCTTGGGGGGCCACGTGACCTTGGGATGACCTTGGTTACGCCGACGGCGACGGCGACGCCGCTCAAGCCGGGAACGGGCCCCTAAGAGCTGCGCTCTAAAAAGTTGACCCTCTTTTTCCCCTCCCCCCACCAATCTCAGAGAGGCCGTGGAGGCTCATCTTTTCCCTTCCCGCTGGATGTAAACCATGCCCCGAGGGCATTCCCCAATCTCCCGACCCAGTGACCTTGTTGGCAAGGGCTCTTCTCAACCCCACTCAAGGGACGGAGACCTGCTCTGCGGTACACTGTGCTCTGCGGTTAGCGGGGCTCGCGACACAAAGCGCAAAGACCAATGCCGCCTTCCGAAAAGTCGTCAAAGCTGGATGAGACATCGGGGAGCCCCTAATTGGAAAGCACCAAGGCTGGCGGGGTCGAAAAGCTATTACCTCTCAAAGGGGATCTTTCCCGCCATCCCTACACAGGGGAAGAGAGGACATCTCCATGATAGTATATGCAGACCGCAGGCGCCGGCTTTTACTTTTTCTCTCTGTGTTCTCAGAGTTGCCGCGTCGTCCGCGGTTTCCTGACACTTTGCTTTACTTTGTAATTTTTTTCTGGAATTTCACGGACAAAGGTTGTGCCGCGATTCGATGGGTAACCAGCCGTAACAAAAACAGAGCCACGTGCTTGTCCTTAGCCAAGTATGTGGCTTGGCGGAGCTGAGCTACAGTGGGAACACAGGGGGGAGAGGGGGGCGGGTGCAGGCATTGTTCAGTACGCACGGGCGGGGGCTCTGCGTATTGCCCAGCACCCCCAGGGAAATGTCAGCGGGCGCTCAAGCCCCCCTTGCCCCTCCCTCCCCCCGGTTCCGGGGTCCCTGTCTTTGTGACCGTCACTTGCAAAACTCGTTCTGATTGGATACTTGCTACACGACCAATCAGAACAAAGCCACTGAGGGCAAAATGGTGAGCACTTTGCTTGGGCTCAATAGAACAGTCACTCCTTTGTATCCGTTCGGGCAGTCCGGTCGTCTCAAGGGCCCTATCGACAACTTAAAAAGTAAGTTTCAACATTACCTGTTACTCACATAAATGTGTTTTCTAGAATTCGCCTTTAAAACAGGTTATCTTCTTTCTTTTTTTTCTTCAGAATGTTCGTCTGCAACATGTCACCGTCTAAATGCGGCAAGAAGCGAAAAATAGATTTGGAATGCCGGACATTCAATGATCAGTGGACAAATCATTTATTTGTTCAACATAAGGATAAAGCGTTATGCCTCGACTGTAAAGAAGCGCTTTCAGTATTTAAAGAATATAACCTGCGTCGACACTACCAGTCCCACCATTGCGACAAGTACGACTCTCTGATGTCAGGAGCCAGAGCCGCGAGGATCGAAAGTTTGAAGAAGAGCCTGGGCATGCAGCAAGACGTCTTCAAGAAGAACGTCCAGGAGAAGATGGCTCTGGTTCAGGCCAGCTACTGAAACTCCAAGTTGATCGCAGAGAGTGGGCGGCCTTTTACAGAGGGGGAGTTTGTTAAAAGGTGTTTGTTGACAGTGGCTGACGATCTTTGCCTGGATAAGAAGAATGTATTCAAGAAGCTTAGTCTGTCGGCTTGCACTGTCACAAGGAGAATTGAAGACATGGGTGAACAGTCATTCAGTAGTTTGAAGGATAGAGCCCGAGCTTTCCAGTGCTTCTCTTTGGCGCTTGACGAAAGCAATGACGTCTCTGATACTGCTCAGTTGCTTATCTTTGTGCGGGGAATCGACACCAGTTTTGAAGTGACGGAGGAGCTAGCTGCTCTAGAAAGCCTGAAGGGCACAACAACAGGAGATATTTTTAACAAGCTATGCGAGTGTCTGGAAATGCTGCAGCTAAAATGGGAAAACCTCAAAAGCGTAACGACTGATGGCGCAAGAAATATGATTGGCTGTAAAGCGGGTGTCATCGGACGCATCAACTCAGAAATGACACGCCTGGGCGTTGTTGCTCCTATTCATCTTCATTGTATTATCCACCAGCAATCACTGTGTTCCAAAGTGACGCGCTTGGAGTCCGTGATGAAGGTGGTCGTACCTACTGTCAATTTTATTCGCAGTCACGGACTGAACCATCGTCAATTTCAACAGTTCTTGTCGGAAACAGAGGCTGAGTATGGGGATGTCCTGTACCACACAGAAGTTCGATGGCTCAGCAGAGGAAGAGTTTTGCGACGTTTTTTTGAGCTTCGTGAGATCGCAGTGTTTCTTTGTGGGAAAGGGAAACCTCTCAAAGAGCTTGCTGATCATGATTGGGTGCGTTGTCGGCACTCCTGGCTGACGTTTCTCAGCACCTGAATGACCTGAATGTAAAATTACAAGGGAAGGGGAAACTCGTGTCCACGATGCTCGCAGACGTGAGAGCTCTCGAGATGAAGCTCAGTCTCTTCCAAAACCAAGCTAGAGAGTATAATTTTTATCATTTTCCTTGCTGCAAGATTTTTGCAGGCGAGACAGCAACGTCACTTCCCACGGAAAAACTCGGCGAAATCTTGCGCGAATTGAGAAGAGAGTTTGAAGTTAGGTTTGCGGACTTCACGAAGCATTCGAGCGACATTTGTTTATTTCGAAATCCATTTAATGCAGATCTTAGCCGGGTGCGAGAGTGTTACCAGATAGAGCTGGCCGATCTGCAAACAGATAATGATTTGAAGAGCGCATTTGAAGCAAACGACCTTGTTACATTTTATGCTGGCCTTGCGGATTCTACGCTCATGAATCTTAAGAAATCCGCAGCCACCATGATTACAGTGTTCGGGAGCACATATGTCTGCGAGCAGACTTTTTCAAAAACGAAGTGCATAAAATCCAACTTGCGCTCACCAATGACTGACGAGAACCTTCTCAATGTTTTGCGACTCGCAGTCAGTAGCTTGAATGTGGATGTCTGTAGTTTGGCGAGCGCAGTTCAACACCAGAGGTCTCACTGAATGGAGTCTCTAGGTTTTTGTGGAAATGTTGCATCTCATGTCGTGTGGCGTGAAATAAAGAAACTGTTCATTTTCAATTTATGTACGTCAATGTAAGTTCGTGCAAGTGCTTTTTTATTTGTCATTTTTTGCTTTAACCCCCCCCGGCCTGCTGCTTGCCGACCAGCCCATTCTGCTCTGGCTTCGCGGCGACTCGGCCCGCTGTGCCAAAAGATTGCCGACCACTGCTTTAGAACGCTAACCATGAAAAGTTAAATGTGGTTGTTGTCGATGCATTTTTATATTAGTAATGCGTTTGTACTACATTTCATTACATTTTTGTTTAGCTTCTTGCACGGTAAAATGTACTAACACCTGCCAGAACCTCCAAGAGGAGGTTAGCGGTATTTATAAATAGATAAGTTTCTCAGCTAGATTTAGCAGGCAAATTACGACATCACATCACGCAACACCGTGACGTAACACGACACCATAATGGTTTCCCCACTAAATTTGGCGGAGAAATTGATGCCTCACGAGTACACTCACGCTATGTTTGGTCACTCGACACCTAGACATAAGCGACACCCTATTTACCACTAAACTTAGCAAGGAAATGGACGTCACGTGGCACTGTGATGACGTGCAGTGAGATGAGCAAGAAAGGCTAGCGGAGGGTTCTCATACGTAAAAACTCCTCGTGACAAGAGAGAGGGGGGACTGACTTGAGGCCGTTGCTGAGGTACTTCTGGCGCCCGTTGAAGAGGCAGTTGCAGACCTTCTCGACCAGGTCGAAGGGCTGCTGGATGACCGGTTCCACCAGGGGCACCAGCCGCACCACGCCCACGTCCACGTCCGGCTTGGGGAAGAATGAACCGCCTGCACGCACCACCCTGTCCACTCTGACACCTAAAGGGGGCTCGGCAGCAAGTTACCGCGTGCCCGTGCTTCTCCCGCTCGCTCCACAGTAAGGGTTTCGTGCCCCGACATGCGTAAAGCTGCCCGCATCCACCATTGCTCCGTTTGTGTTCTCACGGGATTCAACCCGCAAAACTGCGTAGAGCTCACATTTAAATCTACAATTCGGTATTTTTTTTCTCAGAGACAATGTCATGGCATGATCACGTTAATTACATTATATCCAAATTGTCCAGCATTGTTGGCTTGATATATCGTAATAAACACATACGTATTTCCACTTAAGGTAAAGTCGCTAGTATATAAATCATTATTTTATTCCCATATAAACTATGGTCATCTAGTATGGGGCACAACTACTTTCACTAACTGTAAAAAATATTCATTTTGCAAAAAAAGATACAAAGAAGTATTTGCAAAGTTGCACTGCAATATCGAATGGATTCATTTTTTACTCAACTGGGTGTAATTAAAATTTTTGATTTGTATAGATACCACCTTTGCCCAAAATATATAATTGAAAAAAACATGCACGTACATCATCTTGAATATTCAGCGAATCTAACACAAAAAGCACACTCGTACCAAACGCACATTCTGCAACCCTGGCAAGTGCCTTCTTTTAGAACAAATTAGGGCCATTATACCCTAGCATACACACTAGCGACCATCCTTAACCACCTTCATATGCACAACATAGAACTTGACACGCTATCGGTGGGTACCTTGCGGGACATGACACTCTCTGGGCAAATCAGCCACGATTGGACAGTGCTTTTGTGTGTATTTTCTAAATATTTTTTGTAAAGGGGAATATGCTTGTGTTTTGTATATTGTACAATTAATTCATGTAGACTATTTTTTTCTGGTTTTTCCTCGAATGATGTGGGGCAGTGGTATTTTTGTCTACTCTTAAATATTGTATGCCAGAATCTTTTTTTGTTATAGTGCCTTGAACGATGCATGCAAGTGACGTTTTGCTATAGTGTCTGCTTATTTTCTTTAGTTTCATATATCTCATTGCCGACTGTTCAATCTCTTTTTTGTTTAGTGTTCTCAGGGTATTTCTTTTTTTTTTTTTCATGCATGCTGCTTGTAGCTGCTGAGGTTGTGGGGGTAAAACAGCTTTTTTCCAAAGCCCCCATCAACACTGTACCTTTGTTGTTGGAAATAAACCTATTATTATTATTCCTCTAAGCAAAAGTGGCAACGACGGTGATTCACTGCCAAGTTTTTTGTATATCTGCACTGAAATCTGCTTCTAGTACGGGGCGACATTTTCCGGTGTCGGCGATTAATAACAGCAACGTGAAAAATATTTTTCGCTCCTCATTTTATCGAACAGCTCTTCGCTCACTGGAAGGTCCAGTACAACTACGGTGAATCGGATGAGTGCGGGCTTTTTTGCCAGCGCACAAAGCGGATCTACGTTTTCAATTTTCACCCCTAGCGTGAAAGAGGTTAGTTAGTGAACGTCTTCTACAGCACGGTGCTCGGGTAAGCTGACACTCATTCGAAGCCACGACCTCGCCGAGGGCCGGACCGTGCCTCTGCCTACTTGTCACACGCTTTTAATCTGCTACCATTAACGTATTAGTAATATGAAGATAGGTGGTTGAGCACGTCGGCGTACCGCAGCTCGGAGAAAGTGGAACAAAAGCTCGCGCCACAGGGTTCAACCGCCTCTTCCTGTCCATTTCGATGGGGTTGCAGTAACGTTAAAGACCTTGAGCTAGCAGTGATACGGCAGAGACAGCAGACGCAGGTCCCAACTGACCGGAGAGGGTGAGCTGGTGCTGGACGCTGCAGTAGGCCTGGCACATGACGGACAGGCGGCAGCGCTGGACGTGCATGACGGGGGCCACGATGCGCTCGGCCACCTCCTTCTGGAAGGTGAGGGTGAGGGGCACCCGCCCGTGCAGGAAGGGGCCTTTCCGCTGGGACGCCATGCGCAGCCACCGCACCAGCAGCGGGGTGGACACGCTGAAGGGCAGGTTGCCCAGCACGTGAACGGGGGGCGGGGGGCCCTCCCACGGCACGCCCAGCTCCCTGCGGGCAAAAACAAATGCTTTCTTCTGTTCCTTCATTTGCTTCTGCAGCTAATGATCTAATTTCTTTGATCACTTTTCCTGAAAGTCACTAAACGAATCCCAATGTAAATTAATCCGCTTCACAAGAGAGAAATCCATCCTATAGCATTGGTTTAGACGGAAGAGCTCCAACCAAAAAGCAAAAAACAGTTCAGCCCGACGTTTCAAAACCTGCTCGGTTTCAAAACTGAGCAGGTTTTAAAACGTCGGGCTGAACCGTTTTTTGGTTTTTGGTTGGAGCTCTTCCGTCTAAACCTAGTCTAAACCTGGTTTCACTGACGATGTTTCCTGGATGGGAGACGAAACGTTTGATTAAATGGACCTCTTTCCAGTAAGGAGTGCCCCATGACGGTTTCGCCGCCTACTACAAATGGAGGGCAACCGGACTCGCCTTCTCCCATGGGAACAGATTAGTGTCGCAAGAAAACAGTGCCCCCCAAAAATGGCGAAAGGGCGGTCAAGGTCAAGTGGAAAGGGTGTGCGCGTGCGCAGACGCTTACTGGAAAAAGGTCCATTGTTAATCTTGTTGGGTAAAGTCGGAGCAAATTTTTTTGATCACCTAGTCTTTCCCCAACCAGAAAGATATCTGTCGAAAATGTTCTCATTCACATATCATCGGTACTTCCTCGAATCTGACCTAATTGAAACCGTTTTAACGTATGAATACCTTGGTGCAAGACTAACGTCAGACATCTCATAGAATAACCATATTGAAGCCCTACATTCTGACTCATAACCGTAACCTGTGTAATGCTCCTCCACTTGTCCACAAAATGGCATACGACACATTCATCAAACCAAATGAGAATATGCGGCTTCCATCTGGAGTCCCCATCAGGTCTAACTCATCAACCACCTGGAGGCAGTACAAAATTATTGAGCTTGACCTGGATGTATTAACTAGCCCATGTTTTTTTTCTTTTTTGTTTGTCTCGATTTGTATAACATGCACGAGGTGTGATCAAAAAGTTCCGGGACTGAATTTATAACTTAATAATAGAGGGCAGCACAATGATGCGCACACAGCAGTCGGAGGAAGGGACCTTCGTGCCTCGTTATATCAAAGGGCGTCACTTTGTGAACGTTTGGAGCTGCGCTACATGAGCTTATTTGACCATATGCACGAGCATAATGGCGATCTCTCCATAGACTGCAAACCAAAGCGGGAGCGAACATCAATTTTACGTCAAACTCGGCAAACGCAAAGCAGAAACCTCTTAAATGATTCAAAAAGGTTATGTAAAAAAGCAGTGAGGTGTGCAAGGTATTTTTGAGTGGCACTCGCACCTCAAGAACGGCAGAATGTCACTGAAGTCAAGGAAAGGTGGGATAAGGTTGCCTTACCGCTCTTCGTCTTCCAGCGACGCTCTGCCGTTCCAGAATCGCAAGTGCCACTTGAAACACTTCGTAAAATTCACTGGCTTTAACACAGGCCAGCTGAATAATTTCAAAGACCTCTGTTTTATATTTGCCAAGTTTAACGCATAATTGATGTTCACTTTCGCTTCGGTTTGCTGTCTATGGTGAAATCGCCAGTGTGGTTGTGCATGCGGTCAAACAAGCTTGCGTAGCACAGCTGCAAGTGTTCACAAAGCGACACTTTTTGGTATAATGGGACACAGTAGTCACTTTTCTCAACCGCTGCACCCTCATCACTGTGCTGCCCTCTTTGTCTATGCTACAGGATCAGTCCCGAAACTTTTTGATCACACCTCGTATTTAACCCCCCCCCCCCCTTCATTAATGTAGGTAATACCCTAACTGGGCCCTTAAGGTGAAAATAAATGGAATTAATGTATTCTCTTTCATTTCTTTGTGTTTCAAAGCTGTACCACTACCTTTAAGGCTTTCAGTCCAGAGTCGCGGTATCGCTGAAATAAATAAAAATAAATAAAAGAAAGCGCACCATTTAGTTAATCGGGCTACGGTGCTGGATTTTCTTTGTCGTTTAAGGAGTGCTATTCGGGTAGGGATTTGCGCGACATCAGTGATCGGCAGAACCTGCGGGACTCGCTTCACGACTGAGCATTTGCGAAAACGGCAGGGGGGCCCAGAGGTATTTCAGTGTTATTAGACGCACATAATAGCGGTCGCGCTCTCCAGACCACGGCTCAGTGTGTGCCCAAGAGTAGAAAAATGGAGGCATGCCTGAAACGGCGATATGCATTTATGGCAGCAGCGCTGTTAAGGCTCGTCCAGATAGGACACTTCAGAAATCGTGAGGCAACACAACACCATCGTGTCATGCGGCGCTCCGCTTTCGTCCGTTTTTTCCCAGTGGGAATGTTTTTTTTGTCAAAGTTTGCTTGTTTTCTTCACACAGGCCTTGACCATAAGCAAAGCCCCCAAAACATTTTTTTATTATTTGCGATAACTGAACGACATGTTCACAGTTTATAGTGCTTGATCTCCTTTTCATAAATCCAGTGTTCTAGATACAATGCACATGCAAAAAAAAAAATTATTGCATGGATGAAGGGCATGTCAACACACGTAAAAGAGCATAATAAAATAGTCTAATTCACTCTTTTTGAAGCACCGAGGGCAAGAAACAACAAAAAAAATCTGCAAAAGACTTTTTTTTAAATAAATCAAAATTACAAAAACAATTTTTAAAGGACTAACAAAATGTTTTGTACTTTTTATAACTATAAAAAACATACCATCTAATTTAACCTGGATAGTTGCATTCTATGGATCCTCAAGCCCATGAATGCCAAATTTGGTTGTCATAGGACAATATGAAGAAGCAAAAAAGATTTTTGTGCACTAACTGTGAAGATGCCTCAAAATTGCAAAATTAAAAAAAATGTCTGATTATTACAATAGATCAGAAAGCGGTACACGCTCCTTCGTGGCGGGAAAAAAACAACACTAAAATGGTCTTTTCTAAGAAATTGAAGCTGCAAAATATTGCAAAGGAGAGGAGATGGCTAGGCCTACTTTTCGAAACAGTTGTAATGGCAGGCTATGTGACAATTTGAAGAACCGCGCATCCGATCACGGATATCTTTCTGAGTCGCTGGGAGGTTTCCAAATGCAAATCTGGCTGATTTCGCGACCATATTTAGTCTTTACGTTTTTATACATAAACTATAAAAATTTAAGGATAATAAATTGTACTAAAACCTGAAATGAGAATTTTTGCGAAATTTCGACCTCATCTAAGCCTTCTCATGTGAATGGGAATGCTGTGGGCCGCTGGGACACTTCATTTAAAGAAACCAGAAAAAAGTACTCCCTGTTTTCTCTGATACAATCAGAGGAGTCACAACTATTTGAGAGGTTAGAGAGTGACAGTAGAGGGAGGGAGGAAAAGAGGGGGGGGTGCAATGTAATTTTTCTCTTTCCTCCGTATTGTTTACATTAAAGGAATACTTCAACGAAATTCGAATTACACCAGTCATGTTCAGAAATAGGCTGAATATGATCCAAACTATCTGTAAAAGACAATCGCACGTTTGTATTTTGAGCTTGATGGCTGTATTTCTTGTTATTAACGGCTCATTCTTTTAAGCGCCCTGAGAGAAGCCAGCGGAGAGCACGTCACATCCGGCGCAATCATGACATAGTGACACGTGACACGGTCGAAGCACGCCAGCGATCGGGCCACCGCAACTAACCGCAAAGCTTCTTTTGTGTGAATTTTGAGTGATAAGTTAATCTTCTATAACCTTGTAGAGGGAGAACAGCAATGTCTGGGTCACACAAAAGACAGTGTCGTTGAGCGGGGAGTTCCTCCCTTCCTTCTTCTCTTGTGCTGGCCGTAGAGCTGTTGGGATCACGTCAGGTTCAAAGCATGTTGAGACAGTTATCGTCACTACCTGTCAAGGTTTCCAGACGGGCATGACAAAGGAGGCTTTAGCGACATCCACCAGGTGCTCTTTCTAATTGTTAAATTTTTTTTTTTAATTCCTGTTTGTGACTTTTTTTAACAAGATATTGGTGTGTCGTATAGACCAAAGAATAAGCGACAAAACTTTGCAGAACTAGTGTGCCTGGAACGCGTCTCCGATTGACGTGTTTACCGCGGCCAAAAAGTGGTCTCTCGATTTCCGCCTGATGACGTCATACAAGTGCCATGCTGTCGCCGGTCGCGACCCTGGTGGAGTCTCAGCAGCTGTGGTGGATGTGCAGACGCCTGTTCTGCTGCAGGTCGCTCTTCACTGCGACAGTCCACGGAAGCTACAGCAGTTGGGACGCCTGTGACGCCGTGACGACAGCGACACTCCCGTTCGCTCGTGCTTTTCGCCAGTATTTCTATGACCAACCGCCAGGATCTATGACAGGCAACAACATGACACTCTGGCTTCTGTGACGTCATTTGTTGCCACTTCGGGACCACTTTTGATGTATGGGCAGCATAGGACGCTAAGCACACCAGTTGGAGACGCGATCCAGGCACCATAGTTGTAGTATCCCTTTCAATTTTCTTCTATGGGGCCGATCACCCTCCTGTTCCACTGCCGCTGGGTTCAATGCCCCAGTTGCCCAACAGAATGCTTTTTCACCTTTACTTTTAAAAGGCTTAGATCTGTACTGAGTGACATGAAAATCTTGGTTTATATTTGTAACATTAAAGGGACACTGACAGGGTATTTATGCTCGCCGAGGTTTTTATTTGCACGTGACACATGAGAGCCCAACTACCCTGAACACAATTTGTAATTCGAAATTCTTTTTGTTTCTGCTTGAAAACTAAGTGGTTCGAGTCACACTCACTCTCTCCTCTGAGGTCATGCGCCGCATTTTATGGTTTAGACACAACCATCAAATATAATCAAAGCCATGGGTCATCCAAGACACACACTCAATACTAAAAATAGACAAAAAATATGGCACCTATTTTTTGTGGCTTCTGAAAAGCTGCAAATGCATTAATTGACAAAAATAGAAGTAGCACAGCCCCGTGACCTCCGGTAACTCTCTCCTCCTCCATATTTCTTCTTCCTCCCCAGTCCAGTTTTGATTTCAATTTCAAACAGTTGCATTTTTTTTGTGTTTTTTTTTTAACTTTATTAAAAATATATATAACGCTGTAGCAAAATACTGACTGGGTACTCTTCTGACACCATAACGAATTGCCTGGCAAAAAATGAATAAATATTTTTGGGGGGTGTCCCTTTAAATTTACATAAATTTTGAATCAATATTTGCAGGAAACAAATGCACCACCTAGGCATACTTTTTGTTCCCTAGTGTTGGAGCATGCGATACTGATTTCTGAGATTTATTTTGAGTGGATTAGATGCGTGTGGACCTCAATGAGACCCAGACGGCAGAGGAATGCGTGCTCCCGTCAGCGTTGGGCACTCACTGAGGGATCAGGTCCTCCATGCTGTAGTTGAAGACGTCCCCCATGATGATCTTGAGCCGGTTGTCTGCAGCCTCTGCCAGCAACTGCGCGACAGCGTGGACCTTCAGGCTTCATTTTTCACAAAACAGTCCCTTCTTGGGGCATCCAAAACGAGAGATGGTGAAAAGGGCTAGAAATGCAGGCAAGCTGGTCACCTAACTCTGTGATAAACACCAGGCTGGGAAAAACCACAAGTCTCAAAACACAGCTATTGCTATACTTCCTCATGTCACAATTTATCCACACTGTCAACCTTCTCAAAGGGCTACCACTACCCCTTGCAAACAAGGTGACAGAGAAATGGATCTACAAACTGCACTGGGAGAAACCAAAAAAAAATAATGGTTACAAAAAGAAACAGCATGTTGTAGGAGACAAGTGAAAGCAACGGCAAATAACCCCTTTTTTGAGACCTCTGCATCACGTCATCCCTCACTCTCTCTAGTCACGGGGTTTTCAGCCATCATCAGCTCGTTTGCACCCAAACTTTCTGATGCATTCTTTTTCTCACTAGCTTAATCGCAAGAAAGTGTTGGCAACCTTCGGAGAGGGCCGACGGCGTGTACATATCCTCAAATAGTGAAGTTGCTGCGTTTAAAGTGTTTTGCGTGGTTGCCCTTTTTTTTTTTTCTAGTCTCGGGTTTGTTATAGAGCCGGTTAACAGTATTGCAAACTCATAGAAATATGCTAATTTTGATAGTCACTGATTTGCCTCAAGTTCAATTCAACACATCAAAGGGATACTGACACGAAAATTGAAATACACCTCTCACGTAAACGTTCGGAAATAATTGAAACATGACCACAAAATCTGCTAATGACAATCACAAGTTTGTATTATGAACGGATGGCAATAATTTCCGTTACGTGTCTCGGGAGATCTGGCGCCCCAAACGCGTTTGTGACGACACGTTTAACTTCACAGGCTACAGGGACGCCGGCCTGGTTGTGAGCTTGGCCCCTCGCTCACTCCAGCCCTCACTCACACGCACAAAACAAATGGACAAGATATTCAGAGGCTGCCTCTTCAGGCCTGTCACTGAAGGCACGCCTCTGGAAAGCGTGAAAAACTGGGATTGTATGTTTCTGGAATGCCTTTACTCTATAGCCTTTCTGAATTTAAAGCAGCCAAATAGCGTGCCAAGAAGAGTAAAGCAATGAAGAATATTCGGAAAACGTGGCGTGGGTAGCTAAAAAATTGGCAGAGTACCATTTAATAAAACACCCAACGCTCCAAACAAATCTTTCGTTACACCGTCCGCTTTTGTTTTACAGTTGGAGTCCCTTTCACGTCCCCGAGATCATAACCAAACGACGGCAACCGAGACAAGCGTGTGCTGCCTGTAGTGACATGGAGCTTGGCGGAACTACGGGCCCACTTTGAGAGGACCGCATAACTCAATCTTGTAACGTACCACAATGTAAGTCAGCGCAGAAGTGTAACTGAGTAACAAACTAACAAAAATAATGTTTTTGCTACGCTACCTCCCAGCGGCATAGCCAGAAATATTTTTCGGGCGGTATTTTCTTTCGGTGGTGCAGTTTGAGGTAAAAAGAGATAAAGGAAGTGTGTATGAACAAAACCCTATGAAAACGGTTTCACCTCACGTTCTCAATGTGATCCCCACATAACAAAAAGACAAGCACACGTGCTACTCCATACCTTAAATGGCTAAGCGAACACATTAACGCGCGAGCACCCAAAGAGCGCGCAATAAATAAGTGTCATAGACAAAGGTTTTGCTCTCGACAACAAGTGCGAGTGACCGGATGGCTTCGGACGATGCGGTTGTGCCTGCTGACAAAGGTTCCGATTAGAGCCTTCGCTTCATTTGGAAACAGCATACCTGCCAACCTGTGGACTTTTAAATTCGTAAAAGTCCCGCGGCTGCGGCGGGGAAGGGGGGGGGGGGGGGGGGGGGGGTTACGCGAAGCGATGCGCAGTTAGGCGCGTTCCCACCGGCGATGCGATCTAGTCGCGCGATAACTTTCATCGCAAAAGTGACCATCGCGGGCAAAAAGCGACGCGATTTGAGCAGTCGCTTCTCGACCCGACTTTTTTGCGATGCAATCTAGTTGCGGAGTGGCTGAGCCAATCAACGGCGTTCGGAGCAAGAGTTTTCGAGAAACGACTCGCCAACGCAAACGAAGGAGTTGGACTCGCTCATCGCACACGCCGGTGTGACCATCTAATTTCTTTTGTGATGCGATCTAGTCGCATTGCGCGACTGCTTATATCGCCGGTGGGAATGCGCCTTTAATGTCAGCCTGGCCAGCGTGCGAAACGGTTACATCACACGTGCGCGTGCTCCAAAATCCGAACTTCTCTCGCTTTTTGGGCGGCACGAAGCACGGAAATTTCGACGTGTAGGACTTCAGGAACACCTGAAAGTACCTCTTTTGAGGTTTGGAGTTCAGCATTGCGCCGCAAAGCCACAGTGACCAGGAGAATGCTACAGTTACACATGCAACAAACAAAGACGCCGTACTTCTCGCCTCGAAACTGGCCTAAACAACGAGGCCCAACAACGTCTGAACACGCCGAACCAACGTGCACCCCTGCACCGCCGAACACACGAACAGAGGCTTTGAGCTTTGGATTGGCTTTCGATCCGTGGCCACCGGATAGACGGATAGTAAAAACCACGACGCTGCTGTGGACACTACCTATTGTCCTCTTGTGGCGATGAAGCTACCGCCAACAAGAGAGTTACAAAAAAAATTTAAAAAAATATTAAAAATTATATTTCGTAAGATTTGAAACAAGATTCGTAAAATCGTAAAATTAGTCCCAATTCGTACATTTTACGAAAAATTCGAAAGAGTTGGCAGGTATGAAACAGGGTTCGTACAAGATTCAAACAAAGACATTCAAGGAATTTCAAGGCCTTGTAGGAGTATTTTTAAGGACCTAACTCAATGCTGGACGTACCAGATTTCAATAAAACACTGTTGTCAACAGATTGCAGATATAATTTTTATTGCACTGAGCAAAGTTTAGGGTAGATGTTTCCTGCCCAGTAACTGTTGTAAAATCTTCCCTCCTTGCTGGAAAGGCCTCAAACGGTGCGCTCAGACCAGACAGTAAGCAACCTAGTCCCCATCTACTTGCTGTGATGCCTACTCTGTAGGCAATGTGCATTGTGTGGAGGCCACAGGTGCCAATGTCAACACACAGAACTTGGTATATTTAAAATTGTGAAAAAATTGTAAGGGTGCAGGCGAGCTGGTGGAAGTTAACCATAGTTTTGTTTAACCCGAGACTGGGGTATTTCAGAAAAGGGACGAGAAGAAAAGAGGCCACAAGGAGGCGAAACCTCTGGTGGCTACAGGAACCACCAGAGGTTTCGACTGTGGGACACAGGAAGAAGACAGCATTTTGAACGAAACTGGAATGTGCGACGAAGATTAGTGTTGGACGCTGTAAAAAGGTTGAATGTTGGGTTTGGAAATAGTTGTAGTTTTGTGAATGGTGACCAATCCGCTGGGGCTCGGAGGAGCGGTATTGTGAATCCTTGTAAAGTCGCATTTAAAGAGAGGACGGAGGGATTGTTGAGAGGAGGACCGAAGTTTTGTGTAAATGTAAAACCGTCGAGAGTAGATGTTTTTTCCGCGATCCAGACAATTGCTAGAAAAGTAGGGTTAGACGAAAGGGTTGCTTTTGTGGACTACGCGGTCAGTAGAATGGAAAGAGTTGTGGATGATTCGTATAAAAAAGACAGGAGGAATTTTCAGGCTATCGCAGAAGTAAGAAAGGACTTTAAATCTAGATCACTGGAATTGTTACAGACCGATAAGAGCGGTATGTTTGCCGTCCTTCCATTGGCGGTTTTTGAAAAAAAGTCAACAGAGGCATTAGACTCGGTATTCATGACATGGCAAGGCAAGTTGGGAAAATTAAGGAAGGACATCTCAGCTACACTTAAAGACGAGGGTTTAGAGACCTTAGCCAGGAAAGTCCTGAATCAGCCGAGAAGCACTTTAAGTTTAAAATTCTTCTTAAAGGACCACAAGCCGGAAATGCCGTTCCGCACGGTTATTAATGAGAACGGAACGTGGCAGAGCATGGTTTCGAAGTTTCTTCAAAAAGGTTTGGACTTCGCTAGATTGGAAAACAGTCTTTCGTTAAGAAACTCAGACGATTTTGTTCAGATTTTAGATGCTCACCATGGGAGGCAATGCTCGTTGATCTCGATGGACATTAAAGATCTGTACTATTCTCTTGAAAAACAGCTGTTGATGAGTAGGGTTAGAGAGGCTTTGGAACGTAATTTGGTAAAATTTCAATCAGGTACGGGGATTCCGGTAGATAGTTTTTTAGCGATCCTGGATCTCTATCTTAAAGCCACGGTAGTGGAGTTCAAGGAACGCATGTGGATTCAAAAGAAGGGTGTGTGTATTGGGTCTGCGGTGGCACCTATTTTGGCAGAAATTTATTTAAACTCTTTGGATAACGCGATCTCGGAAAGGCTGGCAGTTTGGGGGTCTGGTGAAGTTTTAGTGAGAAGGTATGTTGATGACATTGTGGTCATGAGCTTTCATGGGAAGGATACGGGAGCAATAGAGAGTCTGGTGAGAGCCTCAGCACCGGAACTTACCTTTACTGTTGAAGGGCCAGACAGAGGAGTTTTGCAGTTTTTAGATTTACGTATTCACATGCAAGAAGGAGTGTGCTGGGAGTACGGAAAGGAATCGGCAAAGCCAGTTTTAAGTAGAAGAAGCTGCCATTCAAAGACTGTGAAGGCTGGGGTGGTCAAATCAATAATCGGAAACGCTCTAAAGAAGTCATGTCTTCATTATGTAGGCCAAGCCCTCAAAAGGCAGTGGGTGAGGTTAGAGGATGCGGGTTATGATAAAGTTTTCATCACGAGGCAGCTCTCCCCAAGTTTCGGCGAGAGAAATGGAACAACGAGAGAAAGAACTAAAAAGGTTGCCGTAGTCCCGTACTACCACAGTGTTTCGCATAACCTTAAAGCGAGTGCTCACAGATTTGGAGTTGACGTAGTGTTTTCATCTGATTACAAATTAAACAGGATGACTCCATTCTTTGCACCTCCAAAGGAATGCAGAAGGCAACATCAGGACAGGTCAGTGGCTTGCAAAGGAGGTGTAGTCTATGAGATACCCTTAGCATGTGGTTTTAGATATGTGGGGCAAACTTCGCGGTGCGTGAATGACAGACTGACCGAGCATAAAAGAAATGTAAAAAACGGGGCACCGAACTCGGAGATCGCCAAGCACGTGTCTGAGTGCAACAATTGTAAGGTGTTTTGGTCGGAAACGGAGGTGATACATCGAGAGGAAAATGAGATAAAAAGGGTAGTGAAGGAAACAGTCCGAATTAAGTCGATGGGAAATTGTATTAGCCAGCCATCAATGCATATAGGAGAAAGCTCAAGAAAATTCCTCAAAATGTAAACCCCCCGTTTTTTTTTGTTTTTTTTTTGTTTTTTTTTTTAGCTATCCAGCACTTTGTGCGCTGCCTACAAAGATGCAGTACAGGTGCAGGACATATTGTTTGTTCTGGTATTCCTTGTTAGTTCTTTCAAGTGTGTAGTTGAGGTTGGAACTTTTGCATTCTCCCCTTTGTGTATTTTGGTTCATGGTTACCCTCTTCCGCTTTCCTTCAATGTGTAGTGCGGGTTAGAATGACCAATTGCCGTTTTTTTTTTTTTTTTTTGCTTTACGGTAATTAAGTACCGGCTAGTTTAATGATTTGTTGCTTGGCTTTGTGTAATTAGGTCTTGTATGCCCTCTTTCCCTTTGGTTCCGTGTGTTTGCGGGTTTGAAAAAACCTTTTAACGGTTCTTTGTTGACTTTGTGTAGTCGGAGGCTTATCTTGTCCTTTTGTCTGGCTGAAAGATTTTTCTTTTGTAATGTTTTGGGCCTATGTTTGGCTTAGTGTATTCCGGGTGTTATGTTGTCATTGGTCGACTTGGTTGGTGGTGTGTGGACGTGGTGTATAAAAGTGCATACGATGGAATAAAATCCTTAGCTGTGTTTGAGACGTCGCCTCCTTGTGGCCTCTTTCCTTCTCGTCCCTTTTCCGAAATACCCCAGTCTCGGGTTAAACAAAACTTTGGTATATTTGTTGTAGGTGCACTTAAAAGTTCTGAAAGAACTTCAAGTTAACATTGGAAGCATCCATCGATATCTGAAGAATCTTCTCGAGAGGCAGTGGTTTGAGTGCACTCAACAGCTTTCCTTGTATGTCCCCGACCGTGGAGTGCCCCATAAACACCGAGTTGTAGTACCTTGTTGTCACCTTGTGAGACGAGTCCCAACCTTACGTGCACATCCATTAGTTTACAATGCAAATAGTCGCTCGAAGACTCATAAAAAAGCACCGTGTAGTGCTCACACTGTTCAATCTTCTGCTGCAAGGCCGTTAGAAAGAAAGGCCTCAGTCCATGGTACGTCACACAGGCGCACTTCTTTACTCAAAAAAAAAAAAAAAAAAGCTTTTGCCACCTCACTGTCTGGGAGCATGTGTTGGAACAACTTACCCGCTTCTGACAATGACCGGTAGGAACAGTGGGATGTGACAACCTTCAGAGTCCACAACACTTCGGCGTTTGTCACCGATTCGTGCATGTTGCAAGCAGCGTTTAGGTTTGGCGAATGCGGTAGAGGCGAGACAGTGGTTTGTTCACTCGTGCCCGGAGCAAGGTAATTTTGCATCGAGCTCTTGGCTGCAATCTTTATGATGCCGGCATCTTTCACGCTCTTCATAAGACTCTTCAACGCCGACTCGCCCATGGCGGCGACATCGAAGGTTTTTCCACACGGCTTGCATCCTGCACGATGCTGATTTGCCATATGTGGCGCCACCCAGCCCTTATATTCATCACTAAAAAGCCAAGCGCCTTGAAACCCGCTTTTGCCAGGCAGTCCCGGATCAGACTGGATTCGGATCTGCTCCAATATGGCCAAGCAGCCAATGAACATTGGCTAAATCTAAACAAATTGAGATAACATAGACTGAAACAAGGAGCAATCGATAAGCATAACAAAAATGTACAATATATACCCGCATTTCCTATTATAAATAGCTTTTCACAGATTTTCAAGGTCTAGCCAAAAAATCCAGGGCTTTCAAGAGCCTTGAAAACCCAATTTTTAAATTCAATGGTTTCCAAGGGTTTCAAAGGCTTGTGCGCACCCTGGGAAAGCAATCGTACATCGAATGTGCCCGTGGTCTCCATTAAACAAAAACAAAAACGTGACAGTGAGGTATCAGGTAACTGTTCGTTACTCAGCACACGAAACGCGGTCCTCGAGGTTCCTCCCGCTCGTATCTCGGCACGTGTCAGCCGTAAAAATAGTGGAGGCACAACTCGCATACTTCTCACTCTCTCTTGCAACTCCGTTCACTCGTAAGCTGACAGTGCGGTGCAAGCTACGTGCTCAGTTTGGCCAGTTGTGCGTCTATTGTTTACCACGTGATCACGCTCCCGCCCCGTATAGCCACACAAAGAGAAAGGGAAGAGGTCAATTGGTCTCTCCAAAGCATAACTTCCACCACGCCGTCATCATAGGGGCCTTCGGGGGGAGAGGTCACCCTCACCTTTGGCGCTCGAGGTCACTCCCAAGCATGCGTGTGTCCATAGCTGGGCACCTGCTTTAACGAGCTCCAGTGAGCTTAAAGGGATACAGGACCGAAATTTCAAGCTCACTAAACAAGGCCGGGCGGATAGGCGAGAAGCTGTAAGACCAAAAAATATCACTCATAAGGCGATATATCTAACGGATCGCCGTATTTTTTGGAAAAGAAGTGCGCAATAAACCCGGCCGACGAGACAAGGCACGTCACGATTCCCATTCTCTCTCCTCCTCACTATGTCCCTTCACGCTGGTGAACCGAAGCGAGGAGGAGAGAAGCGAGGCCGCTTCTCCTCATTCTGAAATTCTCCCGGAGAACAGTTACGTCAAAGAACTTGCTTGATCGCGCCCTTTTTTTCCAAAAGTATGGCCACCCGTTTGAGATATCGATGTACGAGTGATGTTTAGGGGTTCGTAGCGTTCCGTTCAACACTTCTGCAGCCTTACTTTGCGAAATCCAAATTTCGGTTCAGTATCCCTTTAAGAAAAGGATTCAGGCACTAATCTGGATGAGTTCAGCGACGGCTCGAGGCTCGAGCATTTCTCCCCATGTCCAGGAACCACAACATTTCTGGCGTTTCTCTCTGTCCAAGGAAGACTTTCATTTCTTCTTCCGACTCGAGAAGATAATGGCCGGTATAATCTTTACGCTCCCGGATGCCTTCTTCTCGAGCGCATATTTTTATTCCTATTCTGGCAAGCGACAGCGTCGCTGCTGACTAGTCTGGTTCAATGTGGCGGCATGATTTTTTGCCTAGCGCGATGTCACAAATGCAGCTCGCAAGTCCCTATAGACCAACATGTCGTTGACAAACGTTTGCTTACGGCAGGTGCAAGCACAGTGCGTGCACAGAAACTGCGTGAGGTAACACGCGTGTACTGACAGCAGCGTGACATCCGAGCATTTGTGTACAACAGCTATTGGGGTAACATTTGCCAATACAACATTCCAGTGCAAGTTGAGGAGTTTGTGCCCAATTCACGAGCCGCAGTCTTCTAACGCAAAATGAAACAAACAAGCCTAAGCGAAATCTGTTCATCATTTGAATGTCTTGCCATAAAGCTGGCAGGTACGGAAAGAAGGAAGAAACTATTCTTAGGAGTGCAATCCCAGAGCGAAAAGGAATCTTTCACATCTTTCCCGAAGTGTCATCCTCTTTCATCCGAGATGACAGCGTGCACAAGCTCCCAGACAACCCTAGTGGTGGGAACCTAGACAGGCGGGACACAGCGGCTCAGGGTCTTCAGCGCACGAGTCTCGGTAGAACGCAGCACTCATGATTGCCTCTTGTTTGCCCTATGTCTGCCTGCACACGGCTGAACATCAGGTGGCGGCTTACGTCATCTAGTCAGTGTTCGCATAACAAGAGTGCATCGGAAAGTGCTTGGGCTGCACGAACGCACCTGCAGCCCGATCCCCGAGCAAGGTACTGAAAACCCGCTCGATTTAAAGGACCTTCCCGCACATGCAGGGCGACGTACACACCTGGAGCGACGGCAAAAACCTCGGGTCCTTCTCGATGACGACCACCTGGCGAGCCCCGAGCTCGAGCAGCGGCCTGGTCAGGCATCCGGGTCCGGGCCCCACTTCGATCACGTGGTGGTCCCTGATCTTGCCCGCCGCCTTGACCAGCCTCCGCGTCAACTTGGGGTCCATGAGGAAGTTCTGGGACAGTTGACGCATGGCGCGGATACGGTACATGCGGAGCAGGTCGCGCACCGTCGGCAGCGGCGGCAGCCGCAGGGCCGCTTCCCGAGCCGCCGCCATCCTGCTTTTGCACCACGATTCAGCACGGCGGTTTGGGAGCGGCTGCCGCAGCAGGACGACCAAGCCGGACGATGAATCGAAAAGATCAAGCACGAAAGACCGTGAAGAGCTGCAGTCGTCGGAGCAACGAGTTGGGGAACACCAGCAGCATGGACGCCGCCATCTTGCCATGCCGCAGAAAACAAAAATGTTTTTTGTTTCTGCACATACATTTGTCGTTAATTGGTGCAGTTGAATAAAAAATAACTATTATTTTAAAACCTACGTATATTTACTAACAGAAGCTTAATTTAGTAAAAATGGCCGGCTGCCGCACTGCGCTCGGGCGGCGGTTTTAAAACGAACGGTCAGTTTTCGTTTGTCTGGCGAAGGTGGAGCATCGTGTAGCGCAGTGCGCAGTCGCTAGGCACTGGGAGGACCGTGCAGTTGGACGCGCTTTTCTTTTATCGTTTGTAAACTTTGTACGGCCCAAGCTCTTCGTTGCCAGTCACACGAAGGACCATGACGACTTTTACGCGTTCCGCACGTTGGGTGAGTCGCTTTGTTTGTGCCGCATGGCTCTTTGAAATCTCAGGTCAGTGGCTCTCCCGGACGGCCGTTAGATTTCGCCTGTCGCATTTTTTTAGCCGCTCCTGTTCAGCTAGAGTTCTCTGTCCTTCCGTTTGTTAAGAAGACCGTTCTGGGGTGGCGTACTGTTTTCGAAAGCCTGTTGGGGAAACGAATGATGACTCATGCCTCTTGTCATCCGTAGGCCTCGTCGGCGGCTTCGTCGACGGAAAACGCCTCCGAGCGCGGCGGGTTCAAGAAGCCTCAGGTTACTCGAGGCACCCAGCGAGTCGCTCTACGTCCCCCGAACAAGGTCCTGCCGGTTCAACCTGCGCTCAAGCCGAGCAAGCTGCAGACGGTGAGCGAGCAGGGGAACCCTTTCTGGGCTTGCCGTTTTCTTCCATTAGCAATCGGTTCAGTGCCCTGCAATCAGATCTAAGCGTCTTTTTTGCGGTTTCCACGTCTTTTGGGTTTCGGGCAGGCCAGCAGGAACGAGAGAGTAATTTTCGTCATATTTTAACCGGACGACGCGGAAACCTCCACCTACGGGGGCGGCCCGTAAAGCCGAAAGCGCGCGATATGTCAAGTCTTTGGCCCTGGGCTTACTACTGGTCAGAGCTGCTAAAAGCCTCTTTTTAGTCGAAATACAAGATATAACTGTCGCAAACAGTTTCAAATATTTATGGAAGTAGTTTTTGTTTAGAGCGATGCTATATGCACTACGTAGTGCACTTTGGACGGAAATTGCTATATGCACTACGCTGAGAGCTCATGCCGCTCGGGCCACCCTTTTTCGAACTGCGCGTGTATCACTGGGGAGCTCGTTAACCCAGCCCCCCGCCTGCGTTCACGCCGTTTCGCGGCGACAGTATGCGGCTGCTAATTAGAAAAGTTAACCAGTACACGCCGCTTCGCGGCATCCAGCCGGCAACCCAAGCCCCGCTGTCCCCGATCTGCGAAGTCTGCGAAGTTTCGTCGACAACATTCGGTGTTTTTTATTTTTATTTTATTAGTGTTCGTTGCAAAAAAGAAATATAGATATCGCCAAATGCCTCGTCAAAACAACGTTCAAGAAAAAAAGAAAAAGAAAAAAAAAGGTAGCATCACCGCGATTCGAACCTGCGTCCACTTGCGTACGAAACGGACACGCTAACCCCTACGCTGTGCCACCGGTTGGAAAACTCGTTGTGATCATTCATTTTATACGAGACAAACGTAGTGCATATAGCAATTTCCGGCCGAGTTGCACTCCGTAGTGCGTATAGCATTACTCTTTTGTTTAATATTTTAGATCTGAAAAAGAAACAAATTCCCTGTTGACATACCCGCCACCAACCGATGCAAAATGCGGCTCACTAGAAAGGGGTAATGGGATCGGGCACCGACAAGCGGCAAGCGTAGAAAGGTTTCGGATGTGTGCGGCGGCGCTGCGGTCGTATGCGGGCCTGAAGATCAGTCCGGTTCAGAGTGTTCCGAAGGCCTTTGGCAAGAAGGTTTGGCTTGCGTTTTGGACATTTGGCATTATGGCAGCACAAAGTGGCTCTTGTTCTGATCTTTACCCTGTGTTTGCTGTCGTTTGTGGCCAATGAAGTGTCGTGCCGAATTAGTCTTTAATCGCGCAGCAAATGCAATGCCCTGGCTGCCCGCTTCATCCTGCCTATGCAGCGCATGCTTTAGTGGTGCCCTCTCGAGCAGTTGACATAGTGCGGCAGCCGTGAGCACTCGCTGAGCTCACTACCCCGCCTCTAGATTTTTCGGGTCCATATCACAAGAGCGAATGACATTTTAGCGAACGGCGACATTTGAGCAAATGGTCGTTTTAGCGAATAACGGGGGCGCGCGTTAACCCATCCGTCGCGCTGCGCTTTACGCCGCTTCGCGGCGACAGTCTGCGGCAACTCATTAGGCCCGCTTCAGACTGGGCAATTTCGCCCAGCAACTTGATGTAGCAACTCCAGCAACACGGGCCGCCCGCGTTCACACGCAGCAACCGAATTGCTCCGACTTGCTATCATCATCATGAAATTTGATTTTTCTTACACTATTTAGACGCACAGCTACGCGCTAAAAAGGTGTTTTTATATCTTTGAATGGTGTTGAGAATACTAACTCATCTTTCTGAAAAGGTTTATTTTCAAAAACAATCCATCTCAAGCCAGAACCAAGTTTATAGCTGTCATCATCACCACCACAGGGGTGTCACGTGAAAATATCGCGTCCCTGATTGGCTGCAGCCGTTTCAAACGTCTTCGAATTGCTCCGAGTTGCTCGCTCGTTCGAGTCGGACCCGATCTCAGCAATTCGTGTCGATCTAGGGAAAGCTAGGGAACAACCCGCCAGCAACACCGGAATTGCTGGAAAAGTTGCCCCGTCTGAAGCGGGCATTACAAAAATATGAACTCACTTGGCCCACCCGAAAACGCCGCTTCGCGGCGTCCGACTATTCGCTAAAGTGTCGTTCGATGAAACGTGGGCGTTCGCTAAAACGTCATTCGATCAAGTGAGTGCCTCCCAGATTTTTCATGCTTTCTGAAGTTCATCCACTGGTCACTCGGTTGTTTCTTTGAGGCATACACAATAAAAAGGTCAAAAGTATCGCTTTTTTCTCAAACATCTTGCGAGAACTACTTCACGTACGAAAAGTGCGCAAAAGTTCCTTTCTTCTTGAGGTGAAACCGCATGTCTGTTAATGTTATTTCTGTCATTGCTGTCTAAACATATTCAACACGTTCACTCTTTTTCATCCCATTGCCTTTGTTCACCGGAAGAGACATTAAAACGGAGGCACAAACTGATGCCATTTGTCTCTGGCTAGCGGCAAGGGGCGGTCTTTCCAATTTAGTAAATTACAAAAAGATGAGCACGCATCAATAAATAGCGTTGGGAGCAAATGCTGTTTTAGAGCGCAGCTCTTAGGGGCCCGTTTCCGGCTTGAGCGGCGTCGGCGTAACCGCGAGGTCACGTGACCCCCTGAAGTCACGTGACCTCCAGAAGTTACATGACCGCAGAAGTCACGTGACCCCCTGAGGTCACGTGACCCCCTGAGGTCACGTGACTCCCGAGGTCACGTGACCTCAAGGAGTCACCTATCCCTCAGTACGCTTCCATCTTCCTCCTCAAAGCTGCGCTCTAACCGGCGTTACAGGGAATTGTAAACGGCTTTCATTTTTTTAAGGCCAGAATTAGCTAATGTGGAAAGACTGGGTGGGTGACGTAAGGGATTGTAAAAAGTGTGCAGGAGGGGGAGTAGAATAGGTCTGGTCTCTACCAGGGCAGTCTGGTAGTTGGTTCTGAAAGGGCAATTCTGAAAGGATGTGGTGCCGCGGGCCGACAGGCGTTTTGGACGGCCAACATCGAAGGCTGTCCTCCAGTGCTCCATTCAGACGACACGCTTTGGAGACGCCTGCACCTAGTTCCATCTCAGCCGCAATCGGTGGAAGCACAGACACGATCGGCTTCCATTCACCCCCAAGCCAGAAGTGCAGTGGAACCTATGTGCTCGGTGGACCAACCATGCGCCTGTCTTTGACCTTGACTTCAGAGTGGGGGCTAATAAAAAGGAGGTGGTCTGGCAAGCACGCAACTTTCCCAGTACTGTCAGCTGAGGGGTGTTTGAAGTACAGTATGCTACCCTCAGAATTCAGGTTTCCACCTACAACGAAAAAGGCTAGTATAGTCCCTTAATTCCACACCTGGTTGGAAGCATCTTTACGCACACATTGCCTTGTTCATCTGAATGGTAGCATAGCTTCTCGAGCCCTTGGCGGTTCGGATGAGGCCCGGTGCAAACCCTGGCCTAAGATGGGTGGCCTAGAATTGGGGCTGGTGAAGCTTTCTATTCGGAGCCATTTAAATGACTCGGCTCTAGTTATGGTGAGCTTCCACCGAACGAAATTAAGGCAGCGATCCAGCCTAATCCACTTAGTAATGAAAATATGCTGTCGACAAGACATTGCTGTTGCTTGTGTCCACAGAACCTTGCGGTGTCGGCGAAACACGTCTCTATGAAGTCTACAAAACGATACTGACCACCTTTTTTCATCTGTGCCTTCTGTCGAGGTTTGTCTCGAAGGCGACGGCGGAAGTGATGCTGCGTGAAAGAAAATGCTCTGTGAAGCTATTCACTTTGTTCATTGTATTCATTCCTTCAGTCCTTTCAGCACTCCGTTTGTGCATTGATGGGGCAAGGAAAATGAACGATAGAAATTTCGGGTGTATTTTCGTCAGGTTCTGGGGAGCCTTCAATATCTAATTGACATATCTGCCATGAAGTCGAAAGAGCTCGACTGGGACACATTTTTAAGTCAAAGAAATGACAAAAATGGGACACACGCAGATATGTCGAACTCTGCTGAATAAATTTTGATATCCTGCTGCGTTTAAGACGAGTGCTTGTACCCTTTTTGCCATCTGTTCATATGTTGAAGTGGTTTACCATGCAAGCTTGTGTCCTAAAAGGAAAAACAGTCAGAATTATTGAAACAGGTATTTTTTACTTTCTCCAACAGAAAAGTTCATATAAATGCAAAAAACAAACAAGTAACCACCACTCGAATAATCTGAAGGTTAATCGATGAACTCCACAGTCCCGGAAGGTGTCCCAAAAGTCTCGTGGGAGTCGC